GTCTGCTCCTGCGCCCGCCGCCTCCGCGCCCTGCCGGCACCGACGCCCAGACGCCCCTCCGGGATCGGCCGCGGCAGTGGGGCCTCCCTCTGCACCCAGCTCCCCGGCGGGCTGCGCAGCCGGCAGGTGGGAGGGAAGGTGGCAGGCAGGGCCGGTGACACTGGCGGGGCCGCGCTTGCTGAGCAACCTGCCGGGGACACCAGAGCGGCCACAGCTACGGGGCTTCCTTGGCCTCGGGCAAAGCATGACTTTCAAAAATCGAGTCTCCTCGGCACACAGTTCCCTTTCCAGGCTGCGCCCAGCACCCCCAGGAGGCGCTTGGGCACGAGGGTGGCGGGCCGTGGCATCTGGGGGCAAGGGCTCCCCAGGCTGCACCCCCTGCCCGTCCGGGCACCCAGGGCCCACCTCCTCTTTTCTGGTTCCAAGCTCCAGCAGGACACACCCCTGCCCAGAAACCTCTGCGCCCATGGCCCTCGACACCTTGGCTCAGCAGCCCCTGGAGGGTGCAGGGGACCCCACATACACTGCCTTTTCCCTGGGGACTGTGAGAGGCCCCGGCCCACCTGAGGGGCTGTGGGAAGCAGGGGCCGGCTTTCCCGAGGGCCTGGCCAGCAGCCAGGGCTCTGTAAGTGCCCAGGACGTGCGCATCTATGGGCTGAACTGCCAGAGCGGCAGGGGCACCTCAGAGACCCTAGCAGCGGCTGAGGAAACCGAGTCTCAAGAAGGGGGTGGCCTTACCCACCTGCCTCGGGGAGCCCCAGCTCCCTGTTCCCCTCTGCACGAGGTCCCTGCAGTGTCATGGTCTGGAGATGGGCTCTGTTAGGGGCTGCTGCCTCGTGCCCAGCTGTGCGCCCTGGAGGCTGCCCAGGCTGTCCGCACGTGTACTCCACCCGGCCTCAGAACGCTCGCACCCGAAACAGCGCCTGTACATCCCCGCCGTGCCCACAGTGCTCCGGGGCGCTGGCTTGGCATTAAACAGATGAGACCCCAGCTGGGCTGCGTCCCAGGCTGCCGCTCCCAATTTGCAGCCTGATGTTGGGGGGAGGCGGCCCTGCCCTCTTGTGACCCTGAGGGCCCTAAATCCAGCCCTGGTTGCCTCAGGGTGCTGCCGACAGAGCCCAGCAGGGCTGGCTGCCCCTGCTCCCCTGTGGAAGGCCCCTGGCAAGCGGCGAGCAGGCAGTGGGAAGCCAGGGTTCTGGCCAGAGGGACCTGCAGGGGACTGAGGGGTGTGTGCTGTGCTCCAGGCCACCCAGGGGAGAAGGCCACCCCTCCTGGAGACGCAGGCCATGCGGGGCTCCCTGGAGCTGCTGCCGCTGTGGTTCCTAGTGTTGGCAGCGGGTGGCACCGGGCATACCTACCGGCCCAGGTGAGCCAGGCCAGCCCCAGCCCAGAAGGGGGTCCCCATGGGCCCCTCCCCAGGGCCCTTCCCTTCCGTCCCCACGCGCAGGCTGGGAGGGTCCTTGCCCTGGTCCTCTGACCGTGCCCCACCCCCAGCCGCAGGGTGTGTGCTGTGGCCAGGGCCGCCCTGGGGCCCACCTCCGAGTCCTTCGCGCAGCGCGTGTATCAGCCCTTCCTCACCACCTGTGATGGGCACCGGGCCTGCAGCACCTACCGGTGAGTGCCCAGGCCCAGCCCGGGGCTCCCCAACCCACTGGGCGTGACAGCCTGGCTGCAGTCTCCAGGGTGGCCGGTCTCTTAGGTCATCAGCCTAGCAATAACTGTGGCAGGACGGGGCCTTACGGGGCACTGTGTTTAGAGGGATGCCCACCCTACTGGGCCCCTCCACTTCAGAGGTGCTCACTTTCTCCTCCCTGGGCACTGTCCTAGGCGCTAGGGTCTGCTCCCAAAACCCACCTCAGCCATCCGGTCCTGCCCTGGGGCTCCAGCGTGCAGCCCTCTCCTCCGGGGCCCCAGGTTCACGGCTCCCTCTCAAGGGAGATGCCTGGACCCACCCCGTGGGGGAGGCACTGACTGAAGAGCAGCTTCAGCGCCAAGTGCCCAGAGGGCAGCAAGTGCTGCACCAGGTGCTCAGGGCAGGGCAGAAAGGCCGGGCCAGTCCCGCCAGAGACCCCCACAGGCTGGGGCCCGCTGCCCGCAGCACCACCCCAGAGCCTGAGGGAGCCAGCGGCGCATGGCACCTCCAGGCGTGGCCGGGCCTCTGCCCTGCCCCAGGGTCTCACTCAGCAGCAGGGTACCCTGGTGAGAAAGGCTGTGTGGTGGACCGTGCTGTGTCCCGGAGGAAGGGATTCTGGGGACACGTGTGGGGACTGCCCAGGTACCCTAAAGCTGGCAGGCTGGCCACGGAGCCTCAGGCCACCCTTGCCCCTGCAGAACCATCTACCGGACCGCCTACCGCCATGGCCCTGTGCTGGCCCCTGCCAGGCCTCGCTTTGCCTGCTGCCCTGGCTGGAAAAGGACTGGTGGGCTCCCTGGGGCCTGTGCAACAGGTGAGGGGCGGGCCCATGGCACCATGCCACGTCCTGGCACTAGGGAGTGGGGTTCCCACTCGAGCAGAGCACCCTCCCGCCACCACGGAGTGGTGACAGCCTTCCTCATCCCCAGCAATATGCCAGCCACCATGCGGGAACGGAGGGAGCTGTGTCTGGCCTGGCCGCTGCCACTGCCCTGCAGGATGGCAGGGCAACACCTGCCACAAGGGTGAGGCTGCCTGCCCTCCTGGGCCGTGGGCACGTCCTGGGTCCTCTCTGGATGTCCCAGTGTACCTGGGCCAGTGTGGGTCTGCACCTTGGGGGGCCCTCTGCGGCGTTTGCACCTGACACCCCCTTCCTGCAGATGTGGATGAGTGCAGCTCCGGAGGGGCAGGCTGTCCCCAGGGCTGTGTCAATACTGTGGGCAGTTACTGGTGCCAGTGCTGGGAAGGGCACAGCCCATCTGCGGATGGGATGAGCTGCCTGCCCACAGCAGGGCCCCCCAGGGTGGCCCCGAACGCTGTGACAGGTATGCTTGTCCCCCCCATGCTGCCCTGGGTGGTGGGCGGGTGGGGCATTGCCCTTTCCCCGACACTGGGAGGCATGGAGGGCAGTGACCCTGGGTGGCTCCTGTCCGGAGGGCACCAGGAGGGCAGCTGAGGCCTCTCTCAGCCAAGTGCAAGGTAGCTGCTCAGCCAGGGCTGCCTCCCTCCCGCTGACACCCTGGAGACGCTGCCCTCTGCTGGTGACGGGACATTATTACTTTTGGTACGCGCTGTGACACTTCAAACTCGTACCGTGAGTAATAATGCGCCGTCGGCAGCCTGGCACCAAGACGCGTTGGACCCCGGTGAGGACCCCATCGGCACGGCAGGACCCGGGACCCTGGCGCCGAGGGGTGGGCAGGGTGGGCTGGTCCAGGGCCCTGTGCCACATGTGCCAAGTCACAGCCCTGTGTCGTGGCTGTGCCCCCAGCGGGGGCAGTGGCCGGGTGGGAGCCAGGTGGGGTGGGGGCTCCTGACCCAGCGCTGGCTCTGCCCCAGGAGTGGACCCCGTGGCGAGGGCGGAAGTGCAGAGGCTGCAGGCTCGGGTCGAGGCGCTGGAGCAGGTGAGGCTGGCAGATGCACCAAGGACGGCTGTGGGCGCCTGGCGGGGCTGGCAGGGAACCTGGCCAGGGCTTCACAGCAGGCAGGGCATTGGTTAAGGCTCTCTAGGCCACAAGTGGAGCGGGAGTGCAGGCCGAGCTACCCCACCTGCCACACTGCCTTCCCACGGAGCCTCAGCCCTGAGACCCTGAGGCCTGGCCAGCACAGCCAGGCCCTCAGTGGCCTGATGTCCATGGTACCTGGCATAGGCTCTTGTGGGGCAACAGTGCTCCCTGGTGGCGAGCAGATGCTATAGCCAGCTGGTTTTCTGGGAGCAGAGGGAGCTGGGGGCCCGGGTCACCTCAGCCTCTGCATCCCACAGAAGCTGCAGCTGGTGCTGGCCCCTCTGCACGGCCTGGCCTCACGGGCCCCAGAGCACGGGCCGCAGGACCCCGCCAGCCTCCTGGCCCATTCCTTGCAGCAGCTGGACCGCATCGACTCTCTGAGCGAGCAGATCTCCTTCCTGGAGGAGCAGCTGGGGTCCTGTGAGTGCCCACGTCACCTGCCCTCCCTTAGAGCCCCTGGCTCCTTGAGGGGGGAGGGTGGGACCCGGGAACAGCCACAAGCCAAGTGACCCAGCCCCCTGTTTCACCTCCAGGCTCCTGCAAGGAGCTGTGACAGCCCTGTCTCACGCCCAAGGCTGGACTGAGCCCACAAGCCCCGCTTCCTCTGCCCGCCCCATGCCACTCCTGTCCTTGCCCCTCCGGGGGCTCCTGGGTGTCCAGCAGGCCAGGGTGGGCCCCTGCCAGGCTCTCCAGGGCCTGGGGGAAGGTACGAGGGCTTCTTGCCCATGCTGGGATGTGGGTGTAATAGGCAGCTACCCGAGGTGGGGCGGGCCTGTCCCCATCAGAATAAATGCGAGACTTGAGGCTCGGTGTCAGTAGGTGGACTGTGCCCTGGGAGGGCACTGGCCCCACAGAGCAGTGCGGCCCCCATCACCCTGTCCTTGGACAGAGGCCGGGCAGCTCCTGCCCACTCTCTCGAGTGACCGCAGCATACCAGGCACTTCCAAGAGTTTGTTTATAAAAATGAACCGTGTGCAGCACAGGCGCTGTGGACAGTCCTTGAGGCTGGTGGTGTGGCAGACCAGGAGTCCTGGCTTTGAGCCCCCGTCTCCCTAAAAGCCTGATACAGGCTGTGGCCTGGACCTGGGGATGCCCCAGGGCCTGGTGGCCCGGCCCCCTCTGGATTCTGGAGGCACAAGTGTGAGGGTGGGGGTCCCTGCCCTCGGCGGGCCCCAGAGGGGATGTTGGGGGCCTCGATCTGGAGCTTCCAGCTCTGACACAGCGGTATGAAGCAGTCTGGGGTCCCCTCTGTGCACGTGCAGCCTCGTGGCACCCCCACCCCACTGTGGCCAGGCTACTGGGCCGGCTGGGCCCTGGGCCTCTCGGCCACCCCGTTCTCCTGGGGCTGTGTGGATATCTCCAGAAAGGTGGCCCTCATGGCTTGGTGGCAGGAGTCCATGAGCTTGGGGACGTCAGCCACAGTGTGGCCGAGGGTGGGGACCGCGTCCAGAACTTGTACCTTGACGGTTCCTAGGAGAGGGAGCGATAGTCATCAGTGAGCTGGGAGGTCCCCAGGCTGCCGCCCTAGCCTCTCCTCTTCCCGACCACCCCGTCCCCAGCTGGCCTCGTCTGTCGCAGCGACAGCGGTGACCTGAGAGAACCTAACTCTGCCCCCTGTGGCCTTCGTGGGGTCAGAGCCTGGCTCCTCCCCACTGCCTCTGACCTTTGACCCCTCCTTCCCACTTGGGCACAGGGGACCCTGCCTGGCGGGGCACAGGCCACATGCTCTGTGGCCAGTGGTGCTGGGGTCCTGGCCACCTTTGTGGGGGTCAGGGTTGTGCCACCTGTGTGCCCTTGACAGCTTCGTTGTCCTTACCCGGAAAAGGCCACTGCCACCACCGCCAGGGGCCAGCAGAGTGGTGAGATGCAGCAGCGCTGGCCCTCACACTTCCCAGTGTCCACCCAGAGTCACCTACGTGGTCCCCGCCAGGCTCACCTGAGGTGAAGAGCTTGGTCCGGAGGTTGTAGAAGGAGCAGAAGGAGGAGTACACCACGGGGATGATGGGCACCTGCGGGCAGGGACACATGGATCCAGGGTGGGGGCGTGGACGGCCTCGTCACTGCCTGGGACGGTACCAGGTGCCCTTGGGGCGGACCCTCAGCCTGGGACCACACCGTGCCCTGGGTGGCCCAGCATTCCATGTCACCCCCTCCAGGAAGTCCTCCTAGGCTGGCACATGTGTCTGTCTCCAACACTGGGCCCTAATACCGGCTGGGCCTAAGCCCATTCAGCTTAGCCGGAGGAGGGGCTGCCTTCCTGCTCCCCCAGCTGTCCCAGGGGGCCAGGGGAGGGGTGCAGCTGTGGTTTTCCTGGAAGGCACGAGGGTCAAAACCTGCAGTGACAAGTGGCACCCAGGGTAATCATTAACCGCAGGGAGTGGGAACCTGGGACACCAGCAGGGGGACTGCAGCTCAGCTGGCCAGGAGCAGGGTGGCAGGAAGTAGCAACATCCTGGCTACCACTGTCCCCAGCACATGCTGGTGTCTCCCCTGTGACCTGCTGGTACAGCCCCCCCCCACTGCCTCTGCCCCCACGAGACCCAGGCGGGGAGGGGCGCTGGCTGGGCTCACTTTGCCCAGGGCTGGCCGGGCTGGGGTGGGGGTGGTGATGGGGCCACCAGAGAACTGAAGCTGCCGAGCACAGCCAGCAGGCGGGACGAGGCCCCTGCCCTGACCCCAGTGCAGGCTTTCCCAGCCCCAAGATGACACCCTGCCAGGTGGACACATCCTGGCGCTCCTGGCTACCCTAGGGCACACTGCCCACCCCCACTTAGCCTGGGGCCCTGAGAAGTCCTGGGTCAGGCGGCACACTGCTCACACCTGCACCACGCCACAGGCTCCCACGCTGGCCCTACCTGCTGCAGCCTAGCCCTCCAGGCTTGGCACTGGACAGGCACTCCCTGTGCACAGGCAGCCCCCAGGACTCAGCAGGCAGCTGGGTGCCTCCCCTGTACCATCTGCCACCCCGACCAACCAACACAGGGCTCTGGAGCCAGCTCGGGTGCCATGCTAGGTTGCAAAGGGCCAGTGCTGTCCCCAGCAGCCCAGGGTCCCAGAGACCCCCGGGGCAGGGAGGCTCTGTCCCCACCTGGCTGGGACAGATCCCTGAGATTCCTGAGCACCAGCCTGGTGGGACATCATCTTCAGCCCCTGCCAACCGGACTCCTTCTCTCCCTGCCCACCCAGGGGCGCCCTCCCTACCTGGGCCTGGATGGCCAAGTAGAAGGCGCCCTTCTTAAAGGGCAGCAGGTCCCCGTTGTCGTTGCGTGTGCCCTCGGGGTAGATCCACACTTTGAGCTGTGGAGGAAGGTCAGGCTTAGGGTAGGACCCCGCTTCTGGCAGGCTCCCCGCACCGTGCCCACCTCACCCCTCGGCACTCACGTTCTCCCTGATCATGCGCTCGCCCAGGTCGGCCATCACGGACACCGCGGTGCTGGAGCGCTGGCGGTTGATGAAGAACACGCCGCCCAGGTACATGATGAGGCCCACAGGGCCCAGGAAGAGCAGCTCCCGCTTGGCGACCTGCACGCAGCGCTTGGGGAGGATCTCCATGAGGCCTGGCAGCACGTGGGGACAGCGGGAGGGCAAGAGGTAGGAGGGAGAGAGAGTGGGGAGGCAGACAGACACAGAAGGGAGACACGGCAGCGTTGGAGCCCCTGGAGGGCCTGCCCATGCGGGCAGAGCACCCCACTTTCCCCCTGCTGCCTGGGAGCCCTCGGGCTCCATCCTCCCCTGGGTACAGAAGCACCTCTACCCCAGTAGAGCCCGGTGCCCCCGTTACCCAGCAGGAGACAGGTCGAGGGCCCCGCAGTCCCTGCACGCCAAGCGTACCCATCATGTCTAGGATGCTCTGGTGGTTGGAGATGATGACGCAGGGACCATCCATCTCCAGCTTCTGCCGGCCCTGGACCTTGAAGCGCAGGCCGTACATGTACTTGAAGGACCGCACGAACCAGCTGATGATGCTGTGTGGGCAGAGGCTGCAAGTGGGCCTGGGGCTGGCTCACCCCCACACAGCTGCCTGCTCCTGCCCCCCCAGCTAGGGACAGACAGGGTGGCCTGGCTCCTGCTCACGTGAGCAACGGCACGTGACACCCAGAGAGAAGGCCCTGAAGTCTCCCATACCTGCCTGGGCTCCAGAGACACCGACCCGGGAGACAGTTGGCAGGGGGCGTGGGGAGGAGTGCCCTAGTGGGCCAGGAGAGGTCAGCCTGTGGGGAGACAGTGGGCCGGTCCCCAAAGCCCTAGGGGCAGCAGGGCGAGGGGTGCGGTGCCCAGCTGGACTAGAGGGAGGCATCCCTGAAGGCGCCGCTCTCCGTGCCGAGGGCCCCCCCTCAGTCGGGCGTAGAGCTGGCTCTGCGACAAGCAGCAGGGCAGAGTCACAGCCGACGGGACCTTCATGCTGACCAAGACTTTTAATTTTGGTAAAATACACACACCATAAAATTCGCCATTCAGGGATGGGGATATAGCTCAGTGGCACAGTGCCTGCCTGGCAAGCGCAAGGTCCTGAGTTCAGTTCCCGCTACCAAAAAAAAAAAAAAAAATTCGCCTTTCAAACCATCTTTAAGCACAGGGCTCGGCTCTGTGCGTTAACCATGTTAACGTCAAGCGGCTGTCACCACCCTCCATCTCCAGGACCTTCCTTCCTCTTGTGGTCACGCTCTGTCCCCGTTAACAGACTCTCTGGCCCTGGCACCCCCACCACTTCCTGTCTCTGTGAATGTGATGACTCCAGGGGCCTCACAAGGAGCCCTGCAGGCCTGGTCTCTCTGCACCTGGACGCCAGGCTCCTAACCACCAGACCTGTCTCAGAACCCAGTGGGAAGGGCGACTGTCACTGTGGGGAAAGTGAGTCCAGGGAGCCTCCCCAGCTCAGGCCACCTTCTCCCCAGATCAGACCTGGGGGTGGGAGCAGCTCCTGGGCACTTGGGGACTGGCTGGCTGCTTCATGTCAGGCTCCTTGTTTTCTGACTGTAAAACAGTTCCTGGCATCACAGTAGGACAGGGGGAGACGGAGCAGACAGTTCACAGGAAAGAAAAGCAGATGCCCAGGAGACAAGGAAGGAAAACTACTCAGACTCACTTGCCATCAAAGAAATGCAAATTGAAACAAGAACAGCCCTCATCCCGCTAGTGGCACAGATAGAAAGAGTGATAGAAGGTGTCACCTGCGTTGGGAAACAGCAGGTGCTGGCCGGCGGGGACGTGTCTGAAAGGCAGGTTGGCTTCAGTCCTAAGAAACCTTGTCCTAGTGCCCTGGAGCGCTACCAGGAACCCGCCTAAGCAGCGAAGGCTGGAGGCAGACGGCCCTGTGTGCAGTGGGCAGGCGGGCACAGGGAACCCCCAGCCAAGCTCTGTGCATCCGTGCAAGAGACATTTACATGTCACACTGCTTGGTTTTTGGTGCTGGGGATGGAACCAGGGCCTCCGGTGCGCTGGGCGAGCGTTCTGCAGCCAAGCTGCTCTCCCAGCCCAACGGTCACAAGATTTGCACAGGCCGGGCACCCTAATCTTACGCCCAAACCCAAACCTGAGCCGGGCAGACGAGGGTGCTCTGCCGGCCTAGCATGTGACACACTGGGTTTGATCCAGCCACAAAAAAAACAAACCAAAACCTCAAATTTGTGGATGCAGTGCCCTGAGTAGTCAATGCTAAGCTCACATAAGGGGTCACGGTGAACGCAGGTGCACAAACAGGGTTATATGAAAGTCCCTTTGGCTGTGGGTGTAAGGTGTATCTGAAAGCTGGAAGAAGCCTGTGTGTAGACTTGGGTCCCGGTCCCAAAGTACCTCATCATGTACCTGCAAGAATCCAAAATCCAGAAACATCTGAAACCCACAACACCTCTGGTTCTGAGCATTACGGATAAGGACTCCCCAGCCTGTAATCATAACTTCAAATTCATCTGAATTTCCATGTCTAGCCGCACGGGAGAAATTTACACCATATGCAAGAATGGCCCTTGGTCCTCCCTGGTAGTGGTGGGTCCGTGCCATTTTCTTCTCTTTTTCCTGCAGTTCTGGGGCTGAAACCCAGGACCCCACACATGCTAGGCAAGCGCTCTGCCACTGAGCTACACGCCCCAGCCACACTTTGTGTTTTAGTGTAGTAAAAGAGATACAGCATAAAATTGAATCTTGGAGGCTGAGGTGTGGGAGGTCATGGCTAAGCTCTGCAGGGCTCCAGGGCCAGCAGACACTCTGCTTGTGTAGGCAGGGGAGCCCCCAGGCAGCCACGCAATGGCAGGGCGAGTGGGCCACCTGCTTCCGGCCAGGACCCCACAGGACTTTCAGACCTCCTACCGGAGGCAGGCAGGCACACAGCTTTCTGCAGGGATGACAAAGCCAGGGACTATGGGGCAACTATCTGTGCTGCAGCTGCAAGACCCATTCTGGGTCTCCCTGGTCCCTACAAACCCTGCAGCAGGGTTCCCTGCAGGGAGCTCAGGGTGGCCAGGGCACCCGGCCTCCTCTGTCCAGACGCCCCCTCCCCTGAGCTAGCAGGAAGACAGTGCTGCCCTATCCTTTCCCCCAGACAAGCTAGGGCCCCAATTCTGGGGCAGGCGTCGCTGTGCCTGTACCCTGGGCTTCCTGCCTCCCCAGGTTGCCTGGGGCTCAAAAGCCAGGGACTGCTGACTGCACTGCACTTCACGGCTGCACCGGCCAGGTGGGGACCTGGTCTCCTTTGGGTCCTGCTCCCTTCTTCCCAGCTGTGGCCTGGGCAATCTGCCTGCTCTCCCTAAGTGTCTGTCACCACCAGGGGGAGGGGAAAGAGCTACGATCCCTGAAGCTGGCACTGGGGGACCCCCATCAACATGGCTGTAATGCCACAAGCTGGGAAGGACCGTGGTAGCTCAGGCCAAAAGGCCCCAGACCTGCCCAGCCCCCACCTGCGGCACCCGTTCTGGGTAGCTGGGAGCCAGTTCAAGGCTAGGCCTAGGCCACTGGCCTGGCTGTCCCCGGGAAAGGCCGCTGGCTGACCCTTGCTCTTGGCCCCTGGTCTTAGGTGTTTCTGGGGGTACTGGCAGGTCTTAGGGTGGAAAGTTGCCAGAAGGGTCTTGCCCCAGAGAGAAACTGGGTGGGCACATTTAGGGCAGCTCTGCTGGGGAGCCATCTATGGTTGGGGGTTGGGATGGGAGGTTGCAGTGGGGCCACTGGCAGAGCAGGGGTATTTGTGACATGTCAGGCAGGGGCAGGAGCCTGGTGTTGGGACAGTGTTCTCAGCCTAAGCAACACTGTAAGAGGAGCTGGGCTGGAGGGGTGGCCAGGGAATACAGGCTGGAGAAGGACTCTTAGGGACCCTCCAGAGGACTATGCACCACAGCAAGACAAGTGACACTGTCACCTTGACTGGATAGAGACCCTAAAATGTGACTGGTCATAGGGTACTGCCCTCATCTGTGGATCATTCCAGGGATGCTCATGGCTGAATATGCTGGATCTATGGCTGCTGACACTCATCTCCTGCTCTGCCTCGGTCCCATGAACAAAGCAGCCCAGTTCTCCTCCGCCACGCCCTTGCACCATGACAAACCTGCCTTGGAGCTGTGACCATGGACTGTACCCCTCAAACCATGAGGCACACAGCTCTCTCTCCTCCTGGGTGTGGGTGTAGGTGTTGGATGCTGTGTCCTCACCACCAGAGAACTGGCTCATACATTTCCTTTTGGGCCCAGAGCCCCAGGCAGATGCTCAGGGCAAGATGAACAGGCCCACGCACAGTGTCCCCACCTCTGCACCTGTCACAGACCCAGACACGTGGCTTGCAATTCTGGCCTCGAGGCTGACTCTTTCTAGGTCAAACCCTAATGGGTACGGGCAAGTCTCCTGGTGTCTGTGGCTGTAGTCATGCCGTCCCCCTTCCTCACTGCTCAGTATAGCCACGGTAATGATGGGGTACCCTGGTCATGTGGATGTGAGCAGAGGCAGGGCTTTCCCCTGGGCATCCTCCATGGGAAAGGCCCTTTCTCTCCTGCCCTGAGAATGGAAGAGCCCCCAGGCAGAGCCCAGCTCTGGTCTCCTTTGGTGCCACAAGCAAACTGCGGGCTGCACCGCTGTTACAGGGGCTCCTGACCCTGTACTTAGTCCAGTTCTAATGCACACAGCTTCTCTGGGCTTTCCTTTCCCTGTCAAATGGGTGACATCTGGGCATCTGCCTCCTGTTACCCCGCCCAGCCTGCACCCAGGGACCCAAAAAGGGTCTGTTTGGCCCTTCTGTTCCCACCCTGACCTGGTGTGAGCTCCAGCCTAAATGCAGAGCCTCCGGGGGCACCTGCTTGGAACCCCGTGGGAGGGGAAGCCGGACAGGGGACAGAGTGGGGCCACGCCCACAGCCCTTAGCTCTGGGCTGGGCAGAGGGAAAGTGGAAAGTATGTCCTCTAAACCACTCTCAGAGGCCCCCCTCTGGGCTGTGTCCTGCCCATGTCCTGCTCCGGGACTCTGTGTACTCCCTCCACTTCTCCTTGCACCCTAAGCCTCACGTTTACACCCAGTCTCTGACCCTTAGTCTCTCCATCTGTGAAATGGAGCGGGTGACAACCCCATGCTACGGCTGCAACCTGGTGTGCCACAACACAAACACATTTGGCCCTGCCGGCCCACGAGGATCTGAAATAGGGTTCATCCACTGAGAGCCCCTTCTCCCAAAATCCCGCTTCCTGTCTGCTGGGTCCCCCCAACGGCCCAACCACCTAAGGACACTGCACCCCCCTCACCCTCTGACCCCTTCCTGCTGCCCACACTTGGAGGCTGTGTCCAGAAAACTCACCAACCCGGTGTCTCTACCCCTCGACCCTGCTGGCCGTCCTGGCAGGAAGGCTGAGTGGGACAGGCCCACGCCACCCTCCAGCCTTCATGGGCCCCCACACCTGCTGGCTCTGGATGCTGCAGGTGCAGGAGGGTGGGGCAGGAGGGCCAGGTGCCCCCTGAAAGAGCAGCTGGTGGCCTGGATGACGCCTGGGCA